TCATAACAAAGTTAATGTTAGATTGAACAAACCAGTTTTTGATTGTAGAAGACAGTGATGAAAGATGGGATTGTGGATGTAATCAATAAAGTCATTTACTTTTAAGATACTCTATGATTCCTAACTGCAGTTTAAAATTCTTTTTTTTTAATATTATTTTTCTAAAAATAAGATTATTTTATTTATTTAAATTTACATTTTTTTTTTAATAAAAAATAATTTAATTTTTACCACATGAATAAAGATTTAAAAGAATTATTTTCTCCACACGTTGACAGTTTCAACCATTTCTTAGAGACACTCCCAGAGTTAGTCAGTAAAATACCCCCTTACGAAATAAAGGATGACAAAAACACATTACTAATTTATGTATCAGAGTTTACCATAACAAAACCATTTTTAAATGAAAAAGAGTATCTCTCTTTAGACAGAAGATTAATGCCTAGAGAGTGTAGAAACAGAATGACAAGCTATAAAGGAAGAGCTATTATAAAATTTAACTTTGTTTTGAATAATGAATTGGTTCACACAGAAGAAAAAAGCAATGGCTATTTTCCCTGTTATGGTAAAAAGTAATTTATGCCACTTAAATGAAAGAATAAAATGTAAAAATAAAAATTATAAAGAAATGAACCTGTCAGAAGAAACAAAGAAAATACTGAAAAAAAAAGAATTTGCTTGAAAAAAAACAATATTTTTTACGGGGATCCTTTAGAAGAAAAAAATGAGAGTGGTGGATATTTCATAATTAACGGATTAGAAAAGGTTTTTAGATTACTTATTGTACAAAAAAGAAACTTTATTTTTGCACAGAACAAAAATCATTACACAAAAAAAGAAAAAAATCTTTCTCCACACTCAGTGATCATGCGTTGTGTAGGGAAAGATGAAATTGCTAATGTAATTTCTTTACATTACACTAATGATGGAAATATTCTTTTGAAAGTAAAAGAAAGAAGAAGTGAATTTTTTATTCCTTTAATGTTTATTCTTAAAGGAATGACAAGTGTTTGTGATGAAGAATTGTTTAATAAAATAGTAAAGATTCTAAAATGAATTGTTGCGCAGCAGAGTTCTTTTATTTTTGAGAAAAAGTTTACAAAACAAATTAAAAATTGACGAAGAAGAAAAAAGAGAGGTTAGTGAGGTAGAATATTTAGGTAGTATTTTTAAGACAGTGTTTAGGGAAAGAGGGTTGGACAGCAAAGAAGCATGTGAAAGACTTTTGGACTCATAGCCTGTCATTTAGAAAATTACCATGACAAAGTGAATTTTTTAGTTTTAGCAATCAGAAAGTTAATTTTACTTGTTAATTCAGAAATCAAAGAGGATGATCCTGATGACCCTTCTAACCATGAAGTAATTGGTGTTAGTCATTTACTTTCTTTTATTGTCAAAGAAAAATTGAATGAAACTTTGAGAAATTTAGTTTTTTACGTATGCAAAGAAAAAGGAGAATTAAATTTGAATTTAATTAGAAATTTAGCGAAGAAAATTAACCAATGGTTTGTCAAAAGGTAGAAAACTTTTTAGCGACAGGAAATTTTAACACTTTAAGCTGTTCTGATGTGTTACAAGATAAAGGATTTGTAATTTTAGCAGAGAGACTTAATTTTTTAAGGTTTATTAGTCATTTTAGGTGTGTGAACAGAGGTTCTTTTTTTACGAATGTAAAAACAACCACGGTTAGAAAATTAAGACCAGAATCTTATGGGCTCATTTGTCCTGTTCATACGCCAGACGGCACTCCTTGTGGTATTTAAACCATTTGTCTTCAGAAGCAACTGTTATTTACAAAAATCAGCCATTTAATACAAGTATTTTTTCACAATTTGGTGTGAGTCATCAACAATTTGGATTACCAGTAGTATAGATGGGAAGGTAATGGGATATTCTAAGAATACTAAATTACTTGCACAGAAAATCAGAGAAGAAAGAGAAAAGGTAGAAGTTGCACTTTTACCAGAAGGATTGTTTATTTTTACAGGAGTAGGAAGGTATTCAAGAGCAATTATAAATTTACAAACTAAGAAAGAAGAGAATATTGGAATTATGGAACAACTTTACTTAAAAATAATACCATACAACAAAAAGGTGACTGATTTTAAAGAAGAAATATTTTATCAAGAAAAAGTATGACATCATTTTTAAGTTTAACAGCTTCTCTCACACCTTTTAGTGATTACAACAATCACCAAGAAATGTTTATCAATGCCAAATGGCTAAACAAAGCATGGGAATAAATTGTCATTCATTAAAATACAGAAATGATTCAAAAACATACCAACATTTTTACAATCAAATACCAATCGTACAAACTAACAATTATTCCAAATATGATTTACAAGATTATCCTTTGGGAGTGAATACAATCATAGCAGTGTTAAGTTACACAGCTTACGATATGGAAGATGCTATGATAATTAATAAAAGTAGCAAAGAGAGAGGAATGTTTAATGGATTTGTTTATAAAACAGAGATTATTCATTTAGAAAAAAATCAAAATTTAATAGAAATCATCGAAGAAGGCACTTTTTTGACACCTAATTCATTTTTTTATTCTTTTTTCAGAGTTTAATGAAAAGAAGGTAAAAAATTATAATGGCATGGAAGGTGGTTTTGTTGATAAAGTAATTTTAGCAGATTCACTTATCATAGTCAGATTAAGAATAGAAAGAAACCCTAACATTGGTGACAAATTTTGTAGTAGACATGGTCAAAAAGGAGTGTGTTCATTCCACTACCCAGCGGTAGATTTACCATTTTCGGAGAGTGGATTGGTCCCTGATGTGATTATTAATCCACACGCTTTCCTTTCTAGAATGACTATTGGGATGATGATTGAAAGTTTGCAGGGAAGAGTGGATGTTTGTTGGGAAAAATACAAAATGGTAATTCGTTTATGAAATATGAAATGGAGGATGAATCAGTAAATCAAACTAATAATTTAATAAATCAAACTAATAACTTAGTGAACCAAACAAATCTTGAAAACTCTTTTGATGATAAAAATTCTCATCCCAAATTAATCAGTCATTTTGGAAATGAATTGTTAAAATGTGGGTTTAATTATTTTGGTAATGAAACAATGTATTCTGGCGTAACAGGTACCCCTTTTAAGACAGACATTTTTATTGGCGTGGTTTATTATCAAAGATTAAGACACATGGTAAATGATAAATTTCAGGTCAGAATACAAGGCCCAGTCCAACCACAAACAAAACAACCAATCAAAGGAAGAAGCAAACTTGGTGGAGTAAGGTTAGGTGAAATGGAAAGGGATGCTTTATTAGCACACGGTGCTTCTTACATTTTAAATGATAGGTTTATGACCCGCTCAGACGGTACCTTATTTTATTATTGTGTCAGCTGTAAAAGTATATTGTTTAGCAATAAAGAAGGATGTTTATGTGGTAATAAAATTATTAAAGAAGTTTATTTGCCATATGTTTACAAGTATCTGTGCACTGAGCTTATGGCTATGAATGTGAGGGTCAGGTTAGAATAAAAAGAATTATTTAAAGTTTGTTTTTTTAGAAATAATTTTAAATATAAAATATGTTTTAAAAAGAGTGAACTGAATTTTTATACAAAATATTTAATTACTTAGCAAATGTTTATAACAAAGTAAAGATAATTTGTTTATTATTTTTATAAAATAGTAAAAATTAAACTTATTAAAATAAAGTTATTTTATTTAGGTTTTTTTGCTGTTTAAGGATGGGAAATCTATTAAAAGATCTTTCCGCTATACCTTCTATATATAAATATTGATACACCTAGTTAAAAGAAATATAAAGTATAATATTTTCTACATAATTAGATATATCTCAAGATACTGCAAGCATTTCACCCTCTAAAACTCACCTCCATGCACTCTATTGACTGCCTAAATCTACCTTATCTTATAGGCTTTGGTTACAGGATACTTTGTTCAGGTAAGGATATTATCTACCAGTTTTAAAGAAATGTATTTTAAGTCTATATACAATTACATTACTCAATTATATTCTCTGATAGAATTTACTTTATAACCAGGTAAAAAATTAATTGATCATAATTTAATTCTATTAGTGAGGTAGAATAAAAAATAATATGTTATCATTTTTAGAAATATTAAAAAAATTGTAAATTTAATTTATAAATAAAAGATTTTAAATAAATTATTTTAGAAATAAAATTTTGGTACTTAATTACATCAAATTAAAAAAAATATAATAAATTATTATTTTTAAAGTGTATTTTTAACCTAAAAAATTAAAGTTAAGAAAACGTAAATTAAAATATTTTTTAAATATTTTTGATTATTTTTTTACTTAGTTTTTTTACTTATTTTTTAAATATTTTTAATATTTTTTAACTTATTTTAATATAAATTTTTTTTACTTATTTTTAAATATTTTTAATATTTTTTTATTCCTTAATGATAAAAGTAAATTCTAACCAGAAAGGAAATGCTTTACTCAATTACTTATCAAAATCACAGTGGTACTTCGATTCATCAATAAACTTTGATTATGAATTTACTTCCATTGGTTTATTATTTCTCTCATTAAAATTTCACATGTGTAAACCAGATTATATCCTCAGAAGAATGGCTAAAAGTGTTACAAAATCTCATAAAATACTTTTACTCCTAGCAGATGTAAAGAATTATGAATTAATATTAGAACAATTATTTATTAATTCATACAAATATAATTTTACAATATTAATTAGTGTTAATAATGAAGAGTGTAGTGAATATCTTAAATTAATTGATTTAAATCAATACAAAAATACAGAAATATTAAAGAATAAGAAAGAAAATTTGATTGATAATTTTATTGGTTTATTTCCTAAAATCAATAAGAATGACATTGTGAATATTAAAAGAGCATTTCTTAATTTAAGGAGTGTAATTAATTCATCTGAGAAAGAGCTTTGTAATGTAAATGGGATTAATAAAAGTAAAGCTGTTAATTTGGTGAAATATTTTGATATGAAATTTAAGTAAAAAATCTCGCAAGCTGGAGTTGAACCAGCGACCTAGAGATTTCAGCAAACTCTACAGTCTCCCGCTCTACCACTAAGCTATTGCGAGTTATTAATTGAAAGAAAGGTAATTATATAATTTAAATAAAATATACTGTTATTTCTTTTATTATGTTAAATTTTTTCTTCAGTATTTAAAAAAACATTCTTAAAATTTCATAAAATAAAAAAAATTTGACATAATAAATGAAAAAATCTTGAATACTTCAGAAACTTAGAAAATATTTATTGATTATTTAGAATTATAAAAAAAATATTATAAATGATACAAGTAAGAGAAAAACTTGAATAAACAAAATAGCTTATCAACTCAATATATTTAAAAACAGTTCTAGAAAACTTAACAAACAAATTATATTTATAAGATTTAATGATTGTGTGAGAATTTTCATAGTTCTTTTTTCTTAAAACTAAAAATTAAGAAATTACCAAAATTTATTGATTAATTTAACAAAAACTTTAAACAAAATTTTTACAAAAAAAGTGAATATTTAAATGAAATCTTTGATGATTTTTTGTGAATTTTTTTAGAAATATCAATAAATGTACAATTTATTCTAAATTTACGCATTTTTTTCATAGTAAAATTTTTATTATAACAAGATTGTTAGTATTTTTGATAAATAAAGAAATCAAGTAAAAATTTACATTTTTTAGACAGTAAAAATGAAAAAATAATTTAAAAAATTTTTTTGTGGGGTGCCCACGGGGTGAAATCCATACGAAGAACTTTTACCTATACCTAATATAAAAATATTTATACCTAGTCGACGGAAACATACGGCAAATATGTTTCTACATACTTAGGTATAGCAAGATACTACAATCGTTTTACCCGCTAAAACCCACCCTCGTACACTCTATAAATTGTTTAAGTCTATCTTACCTTGCAGACTTTGGTTAAGGAAGTATTTATTTTTTTTCCTAAAAAAAAAAGTGGTTTTTACAAACTCCCCAAGATATTTAAGAATAATTACCTAATTTGAAATATAAATATGTTTTAATAATTTTTCCAATTAATATATAAAAAAAAAAATAAAAAAGAAATAAAAAGAATGGTTTTTTTGAGTTATCTTGTCTCTAAGGAGATGACCTTGCACTGTGCCATACATTGATTTACTGATATTTTGGAAGAATATAAAAGAAATATTTATTTGTATGAATTTAAAACAATTATATAAGTATTGTAATCAAATTATTATCAATTATTTCTCTTAAAATTTGTGATACCTTCAAATAAAATATGATATAAATAAACTTCAATTTCTTTCTGCTTTTTTTCTTTACTTCAACTATATTTTTTAAACCCTACTGTAAGTATCTTGCTTGCTATGGTGTCAAAAAATTTTTTAAATGATATAGTTTTATGAATAAATATTGTATTTTAAGAGTTATAAGTTTTTAACAAAAAAAGTATATAAAATTTTTATTTAATGGTTTTTATTTTAGTTTTACACTTAATTATAAAAACTGTTAAGCAAACTAAAACTAAATCTTCCCTTTTTTTTATTTTTTTTAGTTCTAAATCTTAAAAAAATAATTTAAAACAAGAAATCAATAGTAATCACAAACCCTGACCTACGCTTCTTGTTATCATTTTTCTATGATTCTTTTATAAACCCAAAAATGTTAATTATCCATTACACTTCATCTTTAAACACTGAAAAAAAAGTTTTATTAATTGAAGATTTTTTTTAAATACTTAAATGCGTTTTTTTTAATTAATTTGGCAAGTTTATAAGGAATTCAAAGTAGGAAAATTTAAATTTTTTTAATTAGAAATTAAAAAAAGGGGTTGGAAATTCTTTATTTTATACAGTATGCTATAAATTAGAATTATAAAAATTGTTTACTAAATAGAATAATAAGATTTGTTATTTTTTAATAATAACATAGGCCTAAGTTTTTGAACACGAAAAAAATTATAGTATAAAATTGACACCATTAAAAGCTATCATTATAATTCCTAGATTTTTATAAATTTTAACTTAATTTCAAGCTTTAATTTATAAGAAATAGATGGAATTGGGATTGATTTTTTTATGTTTTGATCAATCCAATTATAAGATGTGGATAAGATGTTTCTTTTTTCTATTAAAAAAATAGTTATTTTGAAGAAGTATTTTAAGAAATACATTCTATGAGTGGTAGATAAAGGATTAGCTTCTTTTCTCTACTTTCTGGGAAGGTGTAATATATATTATTTATCAAAATATATTCTTTTTATTGTTTTTATTCATCTTTAATTTTTTTGCAGAGTGAGTTGATAGGTTGTTTAATTTTCCTACTAGAAATAATTTTTTAATAGATTATTCTACTAGAATAGATTAGAAACTAAATTTCAAAACATAAACCTTTTAAATATTTTTGTATTTATTTAAGAAAATAAATATCTTATCTAGTGGTTTTTTTAAATATGGTTAAGTATATGTATCTTTATCTAATGAAATATATTTAAAATAAAAAATTAAAACATTGAGAACAGTGCTAACTGCCATTATGTTAAATTTCACTTATTGTAATTATTTTAAGATCTTAAAAATTTTTAATTTTTTGAGCTCTAATCAACATGTTTTTAAACATAAAAACTCATGTCGCTTTAAGACAAGCATATTATCATTAGAAGTTTATTACAACTACATATTTCTGTATTTTAAAATAGTTTTTATCAATAATATTTTAACACCCCATTACTTCTAAACTCATAAATCGCTTATATTAGTTTAGTGTTTTTGCGATTAGCATTTGTAATTTTTAAATTTATATTTATTTTCATTTAGTTAAAATTTTTATTCAACACGATTTTATCAAATTATTAATGTAATTTTTATTTAAAGAGAGGTAGGCATATAGAAAAATGATTAATTAAGATATTAAATATACGAAAATCATTCAATAAAATTTATTCTTTTAATCAGAAACTTGATTGATAAAAAAACTTATTTTAACTAGGTCTAGCAATATCATAATATTGCAATATTTCGTTTAAAACAGCATTGTTTATTGCTTCTTTAACATTATTTTTAACATCTTCAAACGTTAATTGAAGAGAACTAGAATCTATAAATTTTTTTAGTTCATCATTTGTCAAATTAAGATCACGCCCCAAAGAAAGATATATTTTTGGTTTTTGTATTAGAGAGTAGGAATAATGGTTTTCTGAAGAGTTTCTTATAAATAAACCGCTGTATATCTGTTCTATTTTATACTTTAAAAGGAAATATTGAATATATGTCTCGTTTGTTTTTTGTTTCCTTAGAATATAAGGGTAAAAATATGCACAATATGAAACGAAAGTTAAAATTACAGAAGCTTTGCAGGGTACCCGAGGTACTAATGAGTTTATTGCAACTAAATTAATAAAAAATCTAGTTTGAAGAACAATATAAAATAAAAATTTACAATCTGAATAGCATTTAAAACTACCTTCTTTTAAAGATGATTCAATCTCAGTTTTTATTATTGGCGCTAAGAATTCGAACCTATAATTTAAAACAGTAAACAACGAGAAAATAAGGCTAAGATTATCAAATTGTATGCCATCTGTGTAAAAATATTCAATAAATTCATTTAATTCAGGAAACAAAATTAATATTATTCTAAATTTTTTTGTCATTCAAAATATGAATAAGTGTGCTAAAATAAATTTCTTGTAGGCAAATACCTTTTGATTCTTGATATTTTGTATATAAGTATTTCGTAGAAAATTCTTTTAGTTTTATAATATAATATTTCTTACAATCAGAATACCCCTTTAATATAGAATTATATTTTTCAATGATTAAACAATCATCGATTGCTGAGGTTTGAAATTGTAATTTATGATTTTCCAAAACTTTGTAAAAGTCTTCATCGTTGATTATTTTTGAATTTAACTCACGTATTAAGCTATTTTTTAAAACACTATCATCTTTATTATTTGTAAGAATTTTACATAATTCTAAAGATTGAGGCAAAAAATCTTTGATAACATCGTCTAATCTGATTAAAAAACGCGTTTCTACATTATAAACAGCCGTAATTAATGATAGTTGTTGTCTATTAACAGAAAAATGTACATCGTCTGTTTGTTTATTTATCTTTAAAATGTTTGTCTTGCGTAATGTCGTTTCCAAATCCAAAATATTTATAAATAAAGTTATTCTGTTTTCTTCATTATCATGATACTTGTATAAAACATCTTTATAATCCTGTAAAATACTTTTACAAAATCCGTTTCTTCAGAGGTAAAATTATTTGCTAAATCTGAAACCTCATGTTCTTCAAAGGTTTCCATTGTTAGAATATTTTTATCGTTAGCAGGTTTAATTTCTGTATTTCGAATCGGAACTTCCACCAGGTTATCTTCTAAATTTCTGCCATCTAATTTTTTTAGATTTTCTTGTTTATCTAAATTTTTATAAAATTTTAAATTACCTAAATTTGGTAAATTTTGATTTGAAAAGCTAATAGCCTTTTTCAAAACCAACGGAGGATCTTTATTAGTAATTGCTAAGGTGCTGGATTTTGATTTTCTTTTAGTAAATTCATCTTTATGACTTTCTTTTTTATCTATCTGATCACAAAACTTATTTTCTAAAACACCCTTTTCTTTCAAATTAAAACTTTTTTCTTCAATTCTTGCTTTTTTGTTTTCTGGAAACCCCGTTCATCTATAAACGGCAATCTTCCAGAATCATCACTTTTCTTAATTTCATAATCACAGAGTAAACTGTCTTTTTTTATTTGGTCGTCTTGATCTTTTGAATCATTTAAGACACCATAAAAATTAAAAATAGAATCTGTTGATATTTCGAGCTCTAAATCTCTAATTAGATCAAAATTAATGAAATCAAAATCTACAACAGTTGAAAAAATGTAAGTTAGTATTGTTAAAATAGTAAATTTCATATGGGATTTATTTAATTTTTGGAAATAAAAATTTTTAATTAGTAATTAACAAATCTGGTAAATTATCGATTAATTTAATTAAAAACTGCTTTTTTAATAGTTAGTAAATATATAACCCTTATTTCTTGTTTAAACCTCAAATTAGATAATTTAACCTTA